AGCGGTAAAAATATTATTGTTCGTATAGTAAAAGAGAAAGAGTGAGCAATTATCTATTCATAATAATGAGCTATTCGGGAAAAATCTGATGCAAGAATAGTCTCTATTAAATTAGGTTTTACAAATTTATATGGACGAACATTTTTTTCAAAACTATTTACATTATTCTGTATACAATCATATTTCTCATTCGAAGGCATCACCAGCTTATGATTAAGGGAGGGCAATGAGGCAATATTATGGAGGATAAAAAATATAAACGCCTGATACAGTCGAAAACATGAAGCGGTACATTTTGGAAGTCTTTGCCTCGATGACGATTGTAATAAGAACAGTTCTGATATCAATGTATAAAACTTCACAAGCCCTCGATAGCACAATAACTAAATCAAACTTTTAAACACAGTTGGTAGTCTTGTAATCGCTTTCCAATTCGCTTGTTTAGCTTGTTTCGTTGATCGCTTCCAATTAAAAAGTGACTAGCTCACAGCGGCTCACGTCTTTATATACCCAAAAGGACATCATACTAGAATGTACAGTAACATTCTACCCGGTCTAGAAACTGCTACCAAATTTCAGAGAGTTCATTGAACAAGTGCCATCTAGCGTCAAGTAGCATTACTAGGTTTTACAAGGATTGTAGTCGATTTATTCAACTGTAGGCTGTAGGTGTTTCTTATGAACACTTACATTTATAGATGGCATTGTCCAGAAAACCAATTAAAATTGTATTTTCGTAACAATAACTTCTACTTTAGGTAGGTATGCATATAAATTATACAAAACAAACATGAATGCTGGTGAACGGCTGCCGTAGAAAGAAATGCAATGCACACAACACACACACCATACCTACCTCCTGCCTATATATTTTTTCACTGTTCAATGGCAAATCTGATATAGTCGAGATGATAATGGCGGTGATTTTAAAAACTGATATCAAAATCTTAATGTTATTATGAATATTTCAATACTTTGTACGATATACATTAAATCTTGTGAATTTATTTACGTTTTGTCATGCGATGCAGAATTTATTAATAGGTAAGGAAGTCACTTTGGTCGCTTTGCGCCGCTACATTTGATCTCTAGGGGGGCAACTGCCCCCGCCTGCCCCCGTTGGCGACGCCCTTGTTCTCATTTATTAGGTCTTCCTCAAATTTCTGGAATTACTATAAAACACGTTCATTGGAACATATTCTAGACTAATTTTGAATACAGCAGACCTTTATGTATAAAAAAATCAGTGACTTCCAGCATTCTGCTATATGATTCCGTATTTGTTTATTTCCTTTTCTCACTTTTTCTCAAGTACTAGTGTGAATTCAGTTTTGGAATCAATTATATTTGTCGACTCGATATTTGTTTCATTCAGAATTTTATTTCTGTGATTCGGCAGAAGTATACGACGACAACCTAACAGATTTCATTATTTATTATATCCATTCAGTTTTTTTGACTTCAACATCAGCCACGAGTAAATTGTCCATCGTGGATTTCTACTAGTACAAGTCATCATTTCAATTATAATTTTTCTTTTATTTCATTTCGTCACGTTCAGTTGCTCAGTGTTTTATTAACGGATATCGTTCCGCTAATATTATCTAACTTTTTAGAGTTTCCTACAAATTCTGCACCGACTGTTAATGACTTCAGATCATTGCGAATTTACTTATACCGTTAGTTTGTGTTAAGCGACACACTTTTTGGAGTTTAACCGTCAATAATTAATTTTCTTAGAGAATTTATTTGCCAACTCTCCCATTCTTGAACATGTTCTACTAAAAATCATATTGCGATATTTCGTGAAGCCCGCAGTAGGTTAATATTTCATCTTGTTTGTTTCAACTTTTGCATGATGATATAATTAATTCATAATTATCGAGGAATGTGTTACCTTCGGCTCTGAAAGATTTTGAATGGAGAAAGAGAAATCCTTATTCTTGGTAACAACTTTACGTCAAGTGTAAATTTCGCCAAATTTGAGAGGTTATGTCAGATCCTTTTCAATTTACGAACTGTGTGAAACTAAGAAACAAAATAGTGTATTGAGGTTTTTCCATTACCGTTCAAAAACAATTTGAGAAAAGGGTATGACCTATATTTGATTGTTCACTCATTTCTTCGTACTTATTTCTTCGAAATCAAAATTCATGTACTTATTCCTCAAAACGTTTTTTAATTGGTTGACATCTCGAATTTGCACATGGCGCCCATATTCATAGACGATTTTTTTGGCATATATACGGTGATTCTTTTGCTATGTGACACCATAAAGCATTTGTAGGTATATTAATATTTCTCTAATAAATGATGATCATTAGTACAGGGAGAATAATACCAAGAAGGAATGACAAAATCTCAGCTAGTGTTGCCAAACTGAAGGAAATTTAACCCACAAAAAATTTTCAAATTTCAACTTGACTTCATACATGTATTTACACACTATTGCTATTTCTATTTCATATATAAAAATACACATTTACAACACGATGGAAATGAAGTTTCCTTACATTGTAAAGAATCCAAGTCGAAATAGTCTAGAAAGGAATAAGTAATGAACACTATAGAAACAGCAAATATATTTCAGAAATGAACAATACAAACATAGGGCTAAATATGTTTTGAACGAATTTCTTATTGACATGGCCGATAAAACGAATTCAATGAAAACGACTTCGAAATAACAAATAAAACTTGAAAATGATCAGCATAATCAGCATCTCCATATGACAGTAATGCTAAATGCACATAGTAGTCCACAGAAAAAATACAAGTCCTCCAAACGAAATTCTTTCTCGATTTGATCTATTGACACAGTGCACTGGGTTTGATTGGTTGAAATGTGTTCAAATTCATAATTTTCGAAATTAGTTTATAATTATCTGATCAATATTCCATATTCAAAATTCCATATATACGCAACCTGTCAGAAAGACTAGTATACACTCTCATTGACGAAAATACATAAATATTTTCTCAAAATGAAAATACTCTCGAAAAAGTTTTTTCGAAACTCAAAAGTATCATTTCAAGATTGTGATGCGGTCTATATAGGACAGACGAAACGGCATCTAAGAGAACGCATTACAGAACCCAAAAAAAATACACAATCTCATAATTTAATGTTGAAAAAAACTTCATTAGCAGAACATGCCTCCAATGATTGACATCAGTTCAATTTTGATAAAACCGGGATTATTGCTCAGGAATCTTTTCTGAAAAAAGACTCTTATAGAAAATGATAGTATGAAAAAAATTATAGTATAAATGAAAAACAGAGATAGAAAATCTGAATACCAGTTACTAGGGCCTAATATCCAACATTTCTCGCAAACGAATTAATCATTATGCATTCATCCTTTATCATTCCAGCTTTGGAATTTATATACATTAAAAACCAATAATGTTTTTTACATTTTATTCACCATTATTAACCATTCAGAACAGCAGGACACTTTTTTATACTTTATATTTCAATCAATTTTATATGTATTCTTTCAGCAAGCATGAATGTGGTTTAATAAGAAACCGAAACGTCTGGTTGAAATACTTTTGATTTACCATTAACCCTGCCTCCACCTGTACATCCTTGAAAATTAAATCTTTCACCATGTACAATATCAAAATAGATTTTATACTCGGATTCGACATCTCCGAAACCTGCCTTGACAAAATGAGAAGATTTGAAAATCGTGTTTTTTGAATGTCAAAATTGTCATAACTCCTGCATTGATTTCATTTCGCATTTTCGTTTATTGAAAACGGAAAATTTTTCAGGAGAGATTGTATTTTTGTTCATTATTTCTTTCTTTCTTTATATAAAAAGTAGGTACCTTCTGATTGAATGAAAACTAATTTTATACATTAAAAATTTGTTTTTCCAAGACTGCAAAATTTGTGCAGTTTTTAAATCTTTAAAATAAAACAAAGTTTGGTTGACATTTCAACATTTTTTATTCGTTTGAAAGACCTACTGATACCATCATGTGTGGAATATAACATCTTTCAAATATCCGCCACGGCTTCTCTGGGTCCAATTTTTCATAACTCTGGCGCATAAATCAGGGTGAATTCGACCAATGGCATGAGTTATGTTGGCCATGAGGACTGCTGTGGTTTGTGGCTTATTTGCATACACCTCCGACACGCCCACAAGAAAAAGTCTAACGGGGTAGAATCTCACGATCTTGGTGGCCAATTTACATCACCTTCACGTGAGATGACCATGCCCTCAAATCGGTCATGCAGAATATTCAATGTGGTATGAGCTGTGTATTACGTAGCACCATCCTGTTTAAACCATATGTCGTTGGTGTCCAGATCATCCATTTCAGGTCTAAAGAAGTTGGTAATCGTTGACCTATAGTGCTCGCATTTGACAGTGATGGCCTGCCAATGTCGTTCCCAAAAAAATATAGACCGGTGACTCCGCCAACCCAAAATCCACACCAAACAATTTTGTTGGTTCACGTACATATTCACCCAGAAATAGGCCACATCGCTGAAGATGATTTTCCGATGAAAATCAGGGCAGTTGCCAACTGGTCCAGAGCCTATTCAGCGAACGTCGTTGTCTAAGGTTGGTGGACTGAAATTCATCCACCACATTGCTAATAGTCCTCTCGGTAGAACGATTATGGCGACCGTAAAATGGGCGAAGCGCGCGGTACGTTGCCCGAACAGAACACCCATTTTGATAAAACAATTGTATTATTTGCATTTGTTGTTGAATGCCGATTTGGCAAAATAAACTGAATGAATGACAACAAATTTGACAGATATAGCTTCAAAAAGATGGCCGTTATCAATTGTCAAAGTTTGGAAGTCTCTGTTAGATGATCCTATAGTTGCTGGAGTGCAATATATTCATTTCTAAAGAAATTCCATAAAACGAATTTCACCATTCGAACTGAAAACGAATCCACAAAAAAACACATTCGAAAATCCATAATTTCACTTTATATTATAGTGTAATATATTTTTAAATTTTTTTTCAGATTCACTATTGCATCACAATTGTGCTGGCGACGTTATTGTCTTTCAATAATCCAGCTGCCTCAGAAATACGTCGGGTGGCCAACTTTTCACCACCTGAAGAAATAAATGATTTAGCTCATCATCATCATCAACAAAGATCTATTGGAAGTAAACCACCTTCTTCGAACAACATAGAAGAAACCATCAAAGAAGTAGAAGCGATGTTAAAAGCCAACCCTGACTTGCCAAGACTCACAAGGGGCGAAATCTTAGATTTGGTTGAAAATATAACGAAAACCGACAAGCTCGCAATAAATTCTGTATATCAGAGCTCTACGACACCCAAACCTAGAGATGCTAAAGCATTTATGGTTGTGATGCCCTACACTCCTGATAATATGAATGGAAAGGGTATAGAGGAATTGTACACGAAACCTCCAGTGACCCACATTGTAGGCGCGCAGACTTTCAAAGATAATGATGTTGGAACTGCAACGGAATTGCAACAAGTTCAAAGCAATAGGTTTGATGAAGGTAACTTGTTGAATTACTTATCTGTAAGGTAAGTCTTCGTCAATCCTTTTCTTTTCCGCTTCCTGGGAGATGTCTCACTTGTCAATTTCTTCCATATCTCCGAAAAACACTGCATCCCGAAGTGCTGCGTTTCCCCCGTCTTTTTCAAACCCATTCCAACATTCTTGTTTCCTGTTCTAGTCCGTACAGGTCTCTTGCTGGATCTTTTTCATATTTTTCTGGAAATAATTTGGTTTGTCCATAAATTATTTGCCTCTTGTGATGCAAAGCTTCACATTAGCATAAAATATGACGAGCTGTCTCTGTGCCTTTTTATGGTCTCCGTTGTACTGCCTATTTTGCTCAGGTGTCCTCCCAATGGTTAGTGTCCAGTGAGTAGCTCTGTAATTGTTCTGAGCCGATCGCTGCTTGGAGCAGTTTTTCGGTTGTCTTTTCGAACAGTCCTTTCATGAAGGTTTTCCAGTGTTCCCGAGAGGGTTTTTCCAGTACTCTGTAATGTTCCTCATAGACTCGTTTCCCCATCTAGTTCTGTACCAAAGATTTTAGTACCCCACGGTTGGTTCTGGGCCTATATATCGAGTTGAGGATCCGTGTCATCAAGATAGATTTTCACCAAATAAATTAAACCACAACAACAGTAGCTGTGCCGATTTCGACAAAACATAAGCTTGGGTTGTCAAAATTTCGAAAACTTCGTGTCGCGGGCAACTGTTTTTGTCAACAACGAAATGTTCCGTCGCCAAGCGAAAAGATCGAAAGGCTACGGTGTTTTGTCTTTGTTTTTATAAACTATGTGGGAAAGGTCACTAATTTGTTTCAATGTGTGACTCCACATGACATTCTCACTTTATTTAAAGTGCTAATCTGTGGTGAGTAAAATATCGACGATCCCAGTTCTCCATTCATTTCTATGTCATTCGTCAAACCTGCCATAATTTCACCTGTTCCATAATCTTTTCATCTTCTTAACAAATGATCCCATAGACCATTATAAAAACATCGTCTAGAGAAGGCATGATGAAAACTGTTCGTGTAGTGGAAACAACAAAAAACATTCCACAACAAAACACGCGACTCCAGACTAGTTTTTGTCTGTTTGGTGGAACTCGAGTTTCGAGTTTGTTCTCGAAGCTAACAAAGTTTTTTTATTCTGTTATCGTAAACGAAACGGTCGCCGGTCGGTTTGACGTGTCTGGTTTGCTCCACTCACTCAATCGACCGCTGTGTGAAGCGGTGGTTCAAACCGCGAGGCCGGACGACCGACTTTCACTCCCTATCGTCCGATTCGTGTTAGAAATCACACGTTGAAAGGTGAGAACTCGTTAGTCCTTAGCTCGTACAAGTTTCGACCTTTGAGAGTTGCCGTTCGTAGGGGGCGACAGCTGGTTAACGAAAAAACAGATTTTAAACAGATTTTCTCAAACAGTCGCAAGTGAAACTGTTTGGTAGAAATTCGCCTTCAGCTTTTCGGTTGCTTATGATACCTGAGTGTCCTGACAATAAGTATGTAGTCGAAATATTCTTGTTCACCAGTTCTCTCAGACCAGCCTGATCAGCACAGTATATTTCAGCTCACGACCCTTTTATAACAAGCGTTTCTGCCGAGCATGTTCTCGTGATGACGGTTCATTCTCCACTCTTCACGGTCTGATACTTTAACTGCATAGTTATTGTCGAACTTGTATTTCGGTGTCGTGTGGTCCAAGAACATGTGGATATTCGTTGTTCCACACATCTCGAAATTTCTGTTTGGCCCGATCCCATGTAGGTCGGTGAATTTTCCAGTTTGAATTGGCCCATCCTTGCGTGTCCCATTATATCACGATGTAAAGGAGAAAGATTGGAGAGTATCCCCAATGCAGCTGTTGGGGTGGATTTCATTGCTCCCGTTATTCCCAAACAGGTAAGTATTTGCATACTGCTTGGTTTGTTAATAGCGGTCGTTTCTTTCATCTTTTGCCAACAGATCATAGATGTATGGTTTTAACCACTATGGTGTAGAGCCAATAAATCTTGTCTGGTCCAACTACCTGCAGCTCGTGTCTTAGATAACCTCTTCTTTTCGGCCTCTGTATGATTGATTCTAGAGACGTATCATCAAATGCCTTCTCCAAGCAAGCAGCTGAAAGCACTTCTTTGTTCTTGTCAATCCTCCGCTTGCAAATATTTGTACTTCTGAAGATTGACATACTCATGACGATAACAGCTGAAACTATCCATGATGATAATTATAGAATTTACACAATGAATTTTATTTGAGACGCGTTTACAATAAAACGAAGTAATATTTTTGGGTTGTTCCAAAAGTTTTGTCCGTTTTAGCTCCATATGTCAATAAATATTCATTCTACTGTATCGTGGTGTATATTGATCGATGAACTATTTTGTACTATATATATTGATACCGGTTTTTTTCTAAATTTTGAACATTTGCCTCTTCTCAGCTCATGTGATGTCTTTAAGCGATTTTTGACCAATATTTCTCTACGAATTCAAATTGAACCATAGCGTTGCCAAAACAGGCCGAAAAATCAACCAGACATTTGGTAATGATAGTGTTAATCAACAACGTTGGTTTGCGAATTTTGATTCCGAAGATTTTAGCCTCGAACATGTTTGAAGGTTCCGGAGGTTTGAGTCTCGAAGATGAGCCTCAAAGTAATCAGAGCCAAAAGTAATCAAGGACGAGGATTCGAAGACCCTGGTGGAGACTCACCCATCACAAACGGAGTGTGGGATAGTGGAAGACTTGGGTGTCAGTTCCATGCCGTTTTAGGTGGTTCAAAACGTATTGGAAAGGTCAAAAAGCCAAAAAAGTAGGTGCACCACGATTTGAATGATCGATAGTTATTATCACGTTCCGAAGTCTGTTTTTATTTGTTCTGGCGCAACCAATACGATCCTTTCTGGATTGGATCGTCACGTGTGATGGAAAGTGTATCCTTTACGACAAGAGGAGATGCTCAGGGCAGTGGGTGGACACCCACAGGCGAAAATCCAATTAAAAAGATCAAGCTTACTGTATGGTTGTCAGCGGATGGTGTGATTCTCTATAACTTTTTACTTTCTGCAACCGGGCCAAACCATCACAGCAGAGCTCTATTATGATAAAATTAATTGTGAAAATTCTATTATTATCATCATGGATAGTGCTATTGATTTCCATTAAGTAACGGGTCAGAGTATTTGTAATGGTTAATAGAAAAAAAAACACTAAAACCATTTAATTTTGTCGTTAGTTTGCATTTGTTTAGGAAATCCTCACATATCAATGTAGACAGTTGTCTGATATAATTCAAAATTAACTATATGGGATCTTTATCAAGTCAAAACACCTTTGACTCCATCAGTAGTTTTAACATTTATATCTATTCACATCGGTTTTGTCAGTAGCAATTGATGACCCTGCCATTATTATTCCTAATAATGACCTGATAATTTTCACAGGAAGTAAAATCGTTAAACCAACAAATGCGAAGATTAAGAAATACCAAGGTTATTCTTATAGAAGAACTACACAGTCTCCTGTGGTAACAAGTAGCACTGAAATTCCTATTGAGCCAATTTCCTCTCTGATACAAAATAACCATAGAAGGAGAAAACCCCAGCCCATTGAACAGCAGAAATCCACAACACTGCCTCCTCTTATCACAACCTATTCGACAAGAGGAAGACGACCAAGTAGAAGGAGACCAGGAATAAAGACCACTGAAAAACATCCGAATCACAAGTACCCAGAAGAGTCCTCTGACGATTCCGTTAAGAGTCCATCATCACTACCTTCTGATGGCTTGAGAATTATCAGTGCCCCAAAATTGTCGCCGCACGCCATCAACGACGATCTTCTTATGGTCGAAGATCAGAACAAAGCATTTTTGCTTGAAAAGGAGGTTCCGTTTTCAATTGAGAGGGTAACAATCAAACATATCGATTTGGATGATGGCAATGGTGGCTCATCACAGAATCTCATGAAAGTAGATGTTCCGGAACATTTGAAAGGTAAATTCTTGACAACTGAGTTAATATAGGTTTGAGAAAAAATATTAGATTGTGCCTCCAGGGGTATTTACAGTATACGGATCGATATTTATGAACGATACTTTGGTGCAATATTTGACAGCGCTGCTTTGATCTAACATAGACCTCATCATTGTGATCAACTCGATCCCAAGGGCAATGTTTGTGAGCATTCATCTTTGAAGGAAAATGATAATGGTAAATACATTTGTAACCTCGGTTTGAATGGAAATACCTGTCATATTACTGAGACACGACTGTCCCGAGTTCCATTCACTATTGGAGCTGTTGTTATCGTTGTTATCGAACAGTGTTCTAGCCCTATTGTGAGTAGATTTTGGGTGTAAGTCGTTATAATTATCTAATTCATACAATTCAGAACAATATAAAAACATAGATACTCACGGCCGGTGTCATGATTGAAGAGAACAAAATCCGGCTTGGTAGGCCTTGGTCGAACGTGACCTGAAATACCAAACGTTTCGTCTGCTAATGCGGCAGACATCATCAGTGCTATATATGTGTTGACTGCGAGGACGTAGTCTCAGCAACGACTGATACTTTCTGGGACGAAATGTTTGGTACTTCAGTACCAAACGGTCTACCAGTCCGGATTTTCTTATTTTCAATCGAAAAGTCGAGCTTTCTGTTTACATTTCTATCAAACTTTCAGCAAATTATTAAATACAGGGTGTTCATTAAACATGCTGCAAAAGTTCAAGTGACTATTCCTTGAACTATTCTAAGAATATATTGTCCTTTGATGATTTTTGATAGGGCGCTTAGTTTCGAAGATACGAAGCGAAAATAAAGTTCTTCAATAACAATTCATTGCCAAAAATTGAAAATAATGTTCCCTTAATATACAAGAACTGTTGAAAATGACTACCCCCCGCTGGCATGCAAGAATTCAATCTTCTCCTCATCGACTCCCGAACTCTTTCAAAAACACCAGGATCGTTTTTGATTGCAATTATCCGATTTCACAAATTTTTCACATCTTCCACCTCGACCAATCCAGCGATCTCCATATGTTACTGTTAACTCTCGAGCCAACATGCTAAAATGTGCTGGTGCACCATTGTGCATAAACCACATTGCATTTCTTGTAACTAATGGTATATCCTCCAGAAACTGAGATAGCGTTTGTTCTAAAAAGTTGCGGTATACCTCGCCGGTAAGTCTTCCTGGCAGACATACCGGAATTAGGAAGTCACCTACAATTCCCAGCCAAACGTTTAACGGGAACTGATGTTGAATGCGATCTTCAAGCAAACATGGTTATTGTGGAAATTCCTTATAGCATTTCTTGAGAAACTGGCTTCATCGATAAAAAGAATAAGCGTCAGTAGTTGAGGGATTTGAACCAATTTGCGCAAAAGCCATTGACAGCATGCAATGCGTGGAAGAAAATCTGCAGGAAGAAGTGCCTGAACTTGTTGTATTTGGTATGGGTATTTCTACGAATGTTCCAAGTCGTCCCGTTACTTACATTCAAAGTATTTGCAATTTTTCGAGTAGAGATACCTGGATCTTCTTCTATTAAGGCAGTACATTATCTTCTACTTCTACCGTTTTTACTCCATTTCGCTTCAATGCTCTTGTTTCACGGCAAATTACGCATTGTAGTCTTGTCCAAAATTTAGCTATGATACTCTGTAAGATTTATTGTTATTATCCAACGTCATATCCTTTTAAGTCAAATATTATTCTTACGGGGGACTTTAATATTAATTTTGACGAAGCTGAATCGATTTTATCGCAGAAGCTGATGAATCTATTAACTTCTTTTGACTTGAAAATGCATGTTGATATTCCAACTCGTATAACACAACATAGTAGTAATTCGATTATTGATTATGTATGTAGTAACTTTGACGATAATTTCCGGTCATGTACTGTTATTTCTTCTGGATTATCTGATCGTGAAGCTCTTCACTTCAGTGTTAACATCGATTCTACAAAACAAGGTAAAAAGTTCAAGTATGGTACACTCTACAGTACAGCAAACTATAATAGGTTCTATTTTAAATGTAGTCAAACTAATTGGGTATATACTCAGGATGTTATTGATCCTCTTCAAATATTCTATAATCAGATCTGGTCCATTTTTAATAACTCCTTTCCCCATCAAAAGATAAAATCAAAATTAAAAATATCTTCTTGTGATATACGATCGCTTAATTACATTAAAAAATTCACAAATAACACAGCATTTCATAACCATGTTAAAAAATACAAACACATTTATAAAAAAGTGATTAACCATGCAAAATGTAATTTTTATCAAAAAAGGATTACCCAAGCAAATAATAGAGCTAAAGAGAATTGGTCTATTATAAATGACTTTCGAGGAAAGTGTAAAAATAAACGAGCAGAAATACCAATACCAATAGATGAACTTAACAAATATTATTGTTCAATAACTGCCACTTTAACTAATAAATCTGACGCACCGTATGATCCCCTTGAGAAATTACGCAATGTAATTTCTTACGAAAAACTAATTTTACACCCTACTTGGTAACAACGAATTATCCATGAAAATCTTTTATCATCTCTAAATGCTTTGGTGAAGACAATCAATCATTCATTTCTTACGTGTTCATTTCCCTCGTTCTTAAAAACCTCGATCGTAATTCCTCTTCACAAAGATGGCGATCTAGATAATCCTTCGAACTATCGCCCAATTTCTCTTATTCCGTCGTTAGCAAAAATTATTGAAAAACTGGTAAAAATACGTTTAACAGAACATTTGAACTTCGGTAATATAATAAGCTTCAAACAATTTGGATTCCAGTCAAACAAAAATACTCATGATGCCATATTTTCATTTTTATATGAAGTGTATAGTAACATTAATAGACGGGAGATTACAGCAGCAGTCTTTTGCGACTTCTCTAAAGCATTCGACTGTGTTAATCACGAAATTCTGCTCAGGAAACTTCATCTCTATGGTATTGAAGGTATTACTCATAAATGGTTTGCTTCTTATCTATCGGGTAGGATTAAATATATAACAGTATCTGATGTTTCTAAACATCTAACGGAGTACCACAAGGATCAGTACTGGGACCTACCCTATTTTTACTCTATATCAATGACTTGACTACCATTGATATTGAGGGTAAATTTACTTTGTTCGCCGACGATACTACAATATTATGGCGCAACAACACAAATGATCTATATAATGCCATTTGCTCTGATATTTCCAAACTTTCAATGTCTCAAAAAGTAAAGTTTTATCCTTTAATTGCATTCTTGATAATATTCCTCTAGCTTCGAATTCGAATGTGATTGAGAACACGTCATGCAACAAATTTCTTGGGTTATTAATTCATAATAAATTGAAATTTGAAGACCACATAATATCTCTTAACAAAAAACTTCCATCTGGATGTTATGCTGTGAAAATAACTTCTAACGAACTAGGACTAACTGCAGCTGAAACTGTCTATTATTCATTAGTAGAATCACATCTAAGATATGGGATACCTTTCTGGGGGGTAAGTAATCAAATTCGAGTCGATTTTTATTCTGCAGAAAAAGTCATTAAGATTTCTCTGTATAGCCAGACCGCGAGATTCTTGTAGGCCTATGTTTGTAGGTAAATTTCATCACTGTATGCTCTATTCATTTTAAAAACAGTTTATTTAGTGCATAAACATAGAACAGAACTTCCCTCTATTTTCTCTCATTACACCACACGCCAGACCCTAAATTTAAGTCTTGCCATACCAAACACTACTTTAATTAAAAATTCTATATTGTATAATGGTCTCAAGATGTATAATCATCTTCGAAACTACCTAAAATGCGTAGTAATCTGTACTGAATTTCGAAAATCTACAAAGGATTTTCTTAGCGAGAGGCCCTATTATAGTTTGCAAGAATTTTATGACGATGCCTTCTAATCATATTTTATACACATTTTATATGTATGTATGTGTGTAAGATTACAAACATATCTCCTTAAAATCGATTTTTGTAGTTTTATTCTGTGAAGAGAAACGCCATTTTTATGATTTCAAAAATACCGATATTAACAAGTCCAAAAAGCTTGTTGTATGAATATTTAAATCGTTTCGCGGAAGCTTGGTCAAAAAAGAAAAACGTAATTTGCTGTTTGTGACCATTTACATGAATATATAATACTCGTAACATTAATAATTGAGAATGAGGAATTCTGTTCAGTCTAATTGGGCAAGTTCACTGAAACAGGAAACTGCTACCCGACAGAATACAAATGGTTCGTTCGTGTTGGTGTTACACCCCGGAAAGCAATCGTGTGGAATCAGTGCCTTGTAGAATTATAATAAATCTAATATAATAATATAGTTTTTCGATTTTGAAACTGGACTTTCACTCTGTTACGATGTTTACAAATGAATTCTTTAGGTTACTGATCTATATGGGCTTTCAACTTTGCCGAAGTTCTATGAACGTTGTTGAAACTTGTCGGTTTGAAACAGATTTTGCCAAAGAATGTTTTCATTAGTCGCAAATGGTCAGATCACGTATCAATGGTTATGATATCAAAGATGAGTTCAGATTACAATTAGGCTCTGAAGTAGATTGTGCTGTAGCCACAAAAAGCTTATTTAAAAAATAATCCTGTGTGTACTCAACATGGAAGTAGTCAAAAATTGGACCAAACATCGCTGCAGATGATTCTAGACCATTTTATGTTGTCCATGATGGCTATAATCTATTCGTGATGTACTGTTTGGAACCTTTGATGTAGTAATGAATATTACTGGAGTTTTTTCCCAACAGCATATCGTTATTTTTAACACTTCGACACGTGTTTCGATGACCAAGTGATCATCTTCAAACACGTGTCGAGGTGTTGAAAATAACGATTTGGTGTTGTGAAAAAACTTCAGTAATATTCGCTCCAATCTATGTCGAATTTTATCTTTTTGAAGCTGCCTCGGAGTAAAGACAGGTCACTGTGTAATGATATTATCTCTTTCATTTCACCATGTTTCAAAGTGAAATGATACACAGTGTAGAACATTGAAAAATCAGGTTATACGAAAAAAAAAGTGAGTTAATATATTATCAGATGAACACATTGAAAACATTAAAATTTCAAAGTAATATGTAATGTGGTTAAATAATAAAAGTATCAAAAATGAAACAATTTTCCAATATCACGATGACAAGTTGATGAAGATATTCGACTACAGAATAATTTCTTAGTTGAGGTTTTGTCTTTGGTGACTTCAATAATATATAAAAACTTTCTTTAAATCCCTATACCTACATATTATTTCGCCTCCATGTAATGTACAGCTCTTGAAGCGTTTTAGTAATGTAATGCCAGTGTTTGTAAGCAATGTAATGTTTATTTTATACTTTGTAGGAGTAGTTGCCGACATGGATTTAGAATCGGCCATCAACCGGGAACATCAAAAACGAGTAACGACTGCAAAGCCTTTCAATGCCGAAGATGAGGAAATCAAAATAAAGAACATGTTAGCTTCTCTAGGAGTACTACCTTCTCAAATGTCAACAACTACCACCCAGCTTCCTGATATCAGCAATGTGGCCGACAATTTGAGTCCAGATATGAAAGAACTTCTAAAGAGTTTTGGACTGCTTCCCAATGCCCAACAGAAACCTGTTGGCTCTAGTCAAGTCTCTGATAGTTTCAATCCAGTGAAGGCTGAGATAAAACCTGAATCTTACATTGGATTCAAGCCTTTGCCTGAACACAGTGAGAGCAGAGATGAAATGGAAGAGCTTTTGGCTAGGTTTGGTTTAGGTAGGAGTACAAGGGATCAGAAGGCACTCCACGAAAACACAAAAAAAGACGAATCATTTCCAAATGAGACGGATAATGATACTGCATTCTCCCAGGATAAATTAAATTTGGAAGTTGTTCCAGAAGAATATCAAGGAGTGCTAGAAGATATCGGACTGTCAGACAGAAAGGGTAAGATTTAAAAAATTTGGTAATTAGTCTAATGAGTAATGGAAGGAGGTAATTTATAGATATTCACGTGAATAGTCCTGCAATATTCGGTTGGAGTCATGTGACGGCCAGTCAAAAGTTTCAGCGCCCCAGTAGCGGTCCAAAGTGAGTGGGTCTATTTGATCTATTCAAGATGGATTACCGTGTAGATACGACAAGAGGTTGCCGGAATCTTGAAAGTATTATTAGCAGACTAGTGAATTCACAGTCATACGTAGCTTTTACTACGTGATAATAAATTACAATGAAGAAAAGAGAATTGAAACTTTCTATGTTTTTTACTACCTTCATTTGAAACTAATGTATTTATAATGTTTAATGTATAAGTTTAAAAATGTCCTTATAGGACGAAACTGCAGTAACGTTAGTTACAAGTAAATGTGATGAAAACATAAAAAAAGTTTCAATTCTCTTTTCAAAATTATGTCACTTTTATCATTTTATTATTACTAGAAATAATACTATTCCCATTATTAATGATTATGAATACCATAATGTATCAAGTGTTGAATTGCTTTTTCATAAACTACAACTCACGATTTGATCTCCACACACTTTATTTGAAAAATATATCACGACATGTTTCGCTAACAAAGTAGTTTCTTCGACAGTCATTTGAATACTCAATACAATATAATACAATACAATTCAATACAATACAATACAATACAATACAATACAATACAATACAATACAATACAATACAATACAATACAATACAATACAATACAATACAATACAATAGGAAGGTAAAAATACAATTTTTTGGCTTTCTTCTTCTCCAAATCAAAAAAATAGAAATAACAACTTCCATGAAAGAAGTAAAATACATAAATATTCAAAATGTACACTATTCGCTTCCTGACAATAATTATGTTCGTTCATGAAATAGTTTCTCACATTATGGAATGTTAGCTGCACAAACATCTGAGGGCGTCACATCGTGTGATCTAACAGGCTATTCCAAAGTAGCACGTCTGTCTATCCACCGGTTTGGATAGTTATCATCCAACGTGTTTTGAACTAGTCTGTCATGATACAATACAATACAATACAATACAATACAATACAATACAATACAATACAATACAATACAATACAATACAATACAATACTTTATGTTTCCTGAGACTCTTTTACAATCATGAAAATCGTCACATACACAGTAAAGGCTGGAGTTGAAAAATATCAAGTGATAAAATATGGAATAAACATAAAAAAAATTAAATCAATAGCAGACGTAGGAGATAATTATATAAAACAATGAAAAATAACATAGTATAAACAGTAGAATAGTAAACAAGCAAACAATGGTGATGTCAAGCAGCCAGATCAGTTTGAAAATATTCATCAAGTGAATAAGAGGCATTTTTGTAGAGAATATTTTTAACGGTATTTTTGAAATTCATGGGATTTGACATTTTGTCAATGAATGATGAATTTTCTTAATGAACTCAAATCACTGTTGACTATACTGAACAATAATCAAACTCAACTTTATTTCACTATCAATATAACAAAACACACATAAACATTCAAATGTCTATCGCCTTATAAGATCACTTTGCACCGCACTGTCCGCGAAACTTGACTGTCTCGATAGGCGAGGGGATCGCGTTTATATTTGGTAATCGAAGGCTGTAGAAAATTCATCGGAATGGAAGCCGGTAGCATTATTTGCGTCACGTATAGAACGGCAGCGAACATCCAACATTCGCGAAACGTCGGTCGAACTGGGCACACTCTTAGCCACGTCACAATTGGTTTATGGGTATCAGTGGCGGCCAGAGTTATTTTCTTTAGGGCATGATTTACAACAATATTCAGTGGCATGCATCTTATACCATATTGCTCTTACTTGAAAAGTAGTAGCTGTGATTAAATGATCGACAGCGTGAATGAATATTTCGCCGATCTGGATTTTTCTGCCTAGAGGAATTACTTATTATTAGTCAAAATTAGAGTAGATGTTTCATTATATTCATTTCATACTGGAATTTATAATCTGTAATCATTTAATATGTATGTACTTTTTAGGAAAAATGATTAGAACTGCGCCACTGGTGAAAACCCAGGAAAAACAACACGTTTTCAATCCCACCGACAACAAATATGCTACCCAAGAAGAACTAGATAAACTGAACAATCTGATGACAATTATCAAGCAACTGGAAAATCTCAATCGGACTGTCACTGATGAAGATCTCAACGAAATTGACAAAGAAAATCTGAAGAAACTTGTGGAGAGTTTCAGTCAAAACAAACACGTAGTACCATTAAATGAACAAAATGCTCCCGATCCACTCAAGTATGACTATGGTTTGAGTAAAAACGAAGTGAAAAGACAGGAAGATACTACATCCACCAACGAACCTAGTACCTCGGAAGAAACTGTTACTCCAAACATAAAGGACCTGGAAGACTCTTTTGGTGGCATGTCAGATACTATAACTGAAGTTTCTGTTCCTGAAACTACCACACCAGTAAGAAAGACTGGTTTTTATTATTTGGTAGATTGGAATACTTTCCTTGATATTGATGACCAGAAGGGCAAGAGAGTAAATTTAAGATTTCAGCCAACCATTGGAGACCCGAAAAGATTTTATTCTGTGTCAGTACCGTGAGAACAAATGTAAATTCTATTTGTGATATTTATAATCGATATTGCTCAATTATGGTTGCAAAACTATAAAAAGTGCCTGCCATTTTAGCTAAATAAGGTTTTTAAAGTTCATTTGCAGTTATATGTAATTATTTATTTCTAATCTGAATCGTGTTTTTGAATACAACCTATAATTTCTCTATTTTAAATACGGACATTGAAATATTTACATATCATGTTTGAATGGTCTATAAATCTTGATACTTCGGGTATTGAAATTGAATACAAGGAGCCATTTTGTCAAATATAAAGATGTATAGATTAGTGTGTTTGATTTCCTGTCGTTTTCCTAAGAGGTTTCAGACGAATTCCATCACATTGATGAACATCCATAAAGTATTCAAGTCAATCAATCAATCAGTCAATCAATCAATCAAATTAATCAAATTATTCATCAACTATAGTTTACAAAAGTGGTATGAGAATCGTCAGTTGAAAAACTATAAAAATATTCATATACACTATGGAATCAAACACATCACACACAAACATAACATATATTCACATATATACTCATATTCATATCACACGTACATAACTAAACCTAGCACTTGTTTTATGAATATTCTGAGACTGAATAGGAACTGAATATTACTGGAGTTTTTTTACCAACACTAAGTTGTTATTTTCAATACCTCGACACGTGTTTCAATCACCAAGTGATCATCTTCAGTTTAATCTTCCTCTTGAAGATGACCACTTGGTGATCGAAACACGTGCCGAGGTGTTAAAAATAACGATTGGGTGTTGGGAAAAAACTCCAGTAATATTCATTACTACACCAAAGGTTCCAAATAGTGCATCACAAGTGAATAAAAACTGTTATGAACTAAAAATGATGTTAGTTCTTTCTTGAATTTGTTTTGTTCTTGAATTTGTTGAAGTTTTTCTGTGTTTTGACACAAGAAGGTAGACAATTGAAAAATGTTGATCCAGCATATGAAGGAGTTTTTTCATATAGAGTTCAATGTTGTTTAAGCCGTATTAATTCACCTTTTTTCGAGGGATAATTGTACCATTGCGAAGTCGTTTCGATGCTATTTTCATTTTTCTTTACGTATATTAGAGAATTTCATATGTAAAGAGCCGAACCTGTTAATATACCACTGCAGGACTTTCTACCTAGAGTTCTTTTGAGTTGTAGCATAGCATAAAAATTTGTTTTGATCTTTCTACACGTACGCTTGGTATGTTTCTTCCAGTTGCGATTATGATCGACCCAAGTTCACAAAAATTTTGTAGACTCTGATGATTTGATGGACTCATCAACAACAAAAAGATTAAAAGAAAAGTTATGTGACTTTTTTACAAAAAAGCTAATCAATACTGTTTTGCTTGCATTCACAATAATTTTTGCTGGAAGTACATCAAGCTATGAAAATCATCATTTGAGTTCTAACGTGTATAGAAAGGTTACTAATGTTAAATAAAAAAAATCAGTGACTATAAAATCGAACCTTGCGGAACTCTAAGTTCAACATCATAACATTCAGACCCGGTGTCAACACTTCATTGCGAGATTTTCACTGAGGTGTTCACAAAACCACAATACGTGTTTCACTGTACAATTGCTTTCTCAGATGTATTGTATGGGGAAATTCATGTTCCAGATTTGTTAACTGTTCAGAGAAAATCTAACAATGAAGGGTTTCAACAGAAACAATTTCACTTCATTATTCGAAAACTTCTCGTGGCATAATGTTGATAACTAAGAACAAAATCATGAACAAAGAGAATTTGGCTTATAACAACATTTCAACAACATTATCAAAATACGAAATTTTCAGGACTATAAATATATTGATGAGAGTCTGTGTTAGAACTCATATTGAAATGTTGAAAAAGAAAATCGGACCAATTTTACGAATACTATTTGGGGTCGGTAATTTCTTTCTTATTCATTCTTAAATGTATATATTTCTATTTGGAACTTACAATATTCCATTCCAATTCAGGAAACAGCTAATTTATCAATGATAAATTCTCTCAAGAGACTGAAAATAAAATAATAAAATGTATATTCAAATTACCACATCTTGAACCTCCGTCAAATTTATATATACCACGTGTGTTTTTAGATATTCAGTTCATTTTTCAATTGAAAATTGTTTTTCTGATCATTTCAAATAGATAGAAAATTTTCATTAACATTCCGTTAATCCCTGAGAGCTAGGACAGGCGTCTCCAAACTTTGATGCCTTCGGGCCATAATGATTTTTTCAGTTTGTTCCAAGGGCCAATTTCTGCCCTTAACTATATTTCTAGACTAGGATAGATGACAAAAATGGACATCATGAGTGGTTTTCTCTAGCATTGGATGAGTTAACGGATGTGTCAGATACTGCTCAGGTGTTGATTTTTATTCGCGGAGTAGATAAAAGCTATGAAGTGTATGAAGAACTTATTGATATTGATAGTAATCACGGCACGACAACTGGGGCAGATATTTTTAAGGGAGTTGAAAATGCCATTAATAAAAAGAACCTTCGATGAAGAAATTTGAAATCTATAACAACTGATGGAGGCAAAAATATGTATGGTAAAAATAAAGGAGTGGCTGCACTTGTGTCAAAGGCTGTAGAAAATGATGGTGGTTCAATACCATTAGTCTTACATTGTATCATTCATCAACAGTCCTTGTGCGGTAAATGTTTGGATATGTCTGAAGTTCTAAAACCAGTCATATCAGTTGTTAACTTCATCAGATCCACTGGGCTGAATCACCGACAATTCCGCAAGTTTATTCAACAGATTGGAGAAAATGATTTACTGTCGCATACTGCCATACGCTGGCTTAGTTGCAGAAAAGTCCTTAAGCGCTTTTTTGAACTTCGAGCAGAGATCGAAATTTTTTTAAATGAGAAGCAGCACCCTTTTGCCGATTCAGAAAATAGTGATTGGATGTGGAAGTTAACCTTCTAAGTCAATTTGACAAATCATATGAACGAACTGAATTTGAGATTGCAAGGAGAAAATCAGCTTCTCCCTGATTTATATACCAATATCAAATCCTTCAGGCAGAAATCGCAATTACGTAAAAAATGTTTCACACATTTTGAAACATGTGACATATTCAGCCACACTACAGAGACTAAATTTTCCGTCAATTTTGCAATCGAAACTTTGAGTGCTTTGAAGACAAATTTTGATTCTCGTTTTTCACATTTTGATGTCATTGCCAATGAAATTAAGCTTTTTCAAAATCCTTTTGATTCTGACATTGAAACTCTGGCTCCGGTATAGTGATATGCTTAAGAACAAATATCAAAATTCATCTTTGTTGGAATTTTATAAGAGTGTTCCACTGGAACAATTTGATAATTTGCATAAATTTGCTCGTGGGTTGTTTTCTGTAAGTGTGTAAGTACTTGTGTGAGAAAACGTTTTCCAAGATGAAGTACACAAAGAATGTTTACAGATCTCAATTAACCGATGAGCATCTTAAATTTCTTTTGATAATTGATACAAGTAAAATTGATCCACAACTACAAAGTAATGTCGGTGGAAAATCACAATTATATAAATCTCATTAGTGTTTTTGTTTTACTGTGATTCATTTCAATTATCTGTTAGTTATTAATATGCTTAAACTTAGATTCTTAAGTTTAGTTTTCTTTGTCATCATTTCTGTCGTTAAGTTTTACCTTGCAAGTAAATAAAATTATCATTCTGTGTTTTCTTCTTCAACTTATCACAAAAATAGTAACAACAATTAAGTAATCATTTGCTGTCGCGAGCCAGATTGATGACAGTAAATCATTGGCTATCGCGGGCCGGATTGATGACACTGGCGGGCCGGATTTGGCCCACGGGCCGTAGTTTGGAGACCCCTGAGCTAGGACAGATAATTGCTAGAGATTAGCATAGAGAATTGTCTATCGCTTAAATGTTCCGAATAGAACAATGAGAGCACATGAATTGTTCATTTTACTCTTTAACGAGATTAAAACTGTTCGCATAACTCTCCTCTATGTCGATGCCTCAAATTGGCTAATACTCTTGCAAAATACTTCGATATTTTCAATACATCGTTGCTAACGGCCAAAAAACTATTGAAAACTTATTTTTATTAATTATAATTCATTAATACATACAGTCAATAACCATTAATCAGTTTTTATTGTTATTGTATTTAATTCTATATCATCCTTTATTTTAGACACTATATACATATGTATTATAGGTAACTATTAATTTAATAATGATTCAATTGTGTGGATACTATTGTGGATCTTTCTGTTTGTATGTCGAATATATAAATATATAAATCAATAAAAGATTTACAAAATAGGCTGAACTATTGTAGGGCAATAGGTGGATGTCATTCGGTAATTTTGTTCTTGTCATTATTTCTTGTCAAATCTCCTTAGATGTTTCACATGTTTTTCATTCAACAACGAATTTTTTGATAAAGAATGAATCTATTTTGAAAATATAATGGAGACACCTTTGAATGATGTATAACTCGTACTCTCAGTCACTAGAAAAAACTTGAACCGGAACCTTCCACACATTTATTCATGAGTTAAAATGGAGGGAGTTACGTTCGTTTTTGAGTTATGCGGTGGGTGTCAAATTTTCGTTGGAACGCCCTATATATTAGATAGTATTTGATATTTTTTTAACGAAATGGTGAACTCATTTGTACTCCTCTGTTATCTGATCAAATGTATGAAATTATAATATACATACTACTCGTACAATTTAGGGATTTCTATACTCTCATTTCCACTCAAAAAGTGTTGAATTTTTTCCATAAAAACAATTCAGTTGTTGACTCTTTTTATTCCTTCAAAACCGGCACATGATACAGAAAATGGTTTTATTCAGTTTGTACTGATTTCTACGTACAAATTGTATTTATTTTAATTGAATTTTAGCGAGTATTATTTTAAACAAGTTATGGCATATTGAAATTTATAGAAATGCTTCAAATTGTTCAATTGTGTTTCTTGTTGATTTTTAGTTTTTATTTGTGTCAGTGCTTCGAGGATGCTTGGTATTCGTACCAAAATTCTGTAAAAAATGCGAATAGAGAAGGTGAGTTTGATGGTAATAAATATTATCAATACATTTGCTTAACCCTCCTTTATATTGTCATCTAATTACATAGAAATTATTGTTATGTTTATGAATTGAGCGGTAACATGAAGAATAAAAATATACCGAGTACTAGAATTTTGAAAACTATAATAGTGCAGACATTTCAATCAATTGCAGTTGCTGTGCAAAGAATACATGCAATGTTAGAAATAGAATGAAATACCTACTTTTGCTAGTTTGTATTTGACTTCGAACTACAAACACCCAACCGTTAAGCCAGCCAGACATAAAGTCCAGTGGTGTTAAATCGGGGACCTCAGTGGCCATTCCCCGGAGCCTTTTCTTTCGATTCAGGGACCCAGCCAGACTCCACTGGTATTAAATCGGGGGACCTGAGTGTCCACTTCGCAGAGCCTCTCCTTTCGATTCAGTGACCCGTAAGTTATTATCGAGGAACTGCCGCACTACGCAATGATGAGGAGTCCTATTTTTTTAAAACACTGTCACGTTCTGCATTAGCGGATCTAATTGGATTGCGTTGTGAATGCTTGCTTATTCAGCAAATCAAAATGTTCTGCATCATTGAGTTTTCTTTGAAAAAGGATGGTTTTATGATAAAGTTATCACATGACATGTTATGTCATGTGTAAACCTCAAAAGTTGATATTTCCATATGGTCCTCATCAGGGAACAACAGGTGGTTTTATTTTTTTTGTGTTTGTTTCTACTTTCCCGATATTAGTTTTTGGTCTCTACACCTATATATGTTGTGTCTATATTTTAATTTTAATCATCATAGTTCCATATCTCTATTTAGGAAACAGATAGGAATCTAAATTTCTATAATATTACCTTATTGCTCGAGCTCGACAAAATAAAAATATTGGCGGTCACACAGGGTGCTCAATTTTTTCTGGGCGGATCCCAACTGTGTTTTTTTAAATGGCAACCTATATTTTTTATCACCTTTTCGGTTTCTACATAGAAAATAAAAGACACCTTATGTATATCTCCACTTCGGAAATATTGACGGTTTTCGAGATATCTAGATGACAGGTTTTTTTTCCAATATTCGTCATTCAGAATATTTGAAATTATAAAGTTGTGCCAACTTCAATTGAATTTTTGTTTTTGGTCAAATATTCTACTGTGGTAAGTAACTCTCTCAAACGATATATCTGAAATCGACCTGTGATATACAGGGTATGCAAAACCGCTTGCCACATATTATAAATAAAAATTTGCAGAATCTTCCTTATTTCACATGGAACACCCTGTATATTATTGATCCATAAGGAACGCCAACGAAACCTCTACAAATTTCATCGAGTATTTCCTATGGCTAGATTCAATAGTTTTTCTCAAAAAAGCATTTTTTCGAAAAATGGTCGTTCTTCCTATTTCTACGCCATAAACTCGATGAAAGACTTTTTTCAAAGCGTAATCCATTTGAGTACTGATACGAATATACAAAAGATATCTTGTTTAAATTTTGTACATTATAGCGTGTCCAAACAAATATTGTTTTAGGAAATTAATGTATGTACCTATCACATTTTTTTAATGGAATGTTATTTTTTTCATTGAATGCAGAATTTTACCCATAAATCGTGCAATACCAAACCAAACAAGATTAAATGAAAAACATTATAAATATTACTAATTTTTTTTTCATGTAATGATGTATATTCATTAATTCAGAGCTTATGTTCTAGATATTTAAAATTGTCAACTGGCAAACTACAAAAGGGAAAGTTTAATGGAGGTTGATAATGAAACTTTTATAAAATATGTTCAACATGTTTTCTATTTTCTCGAATGCAGAGCTGAAGTCTATGTTTGAAAGAGTATTCTATTCTGCGTAAGACAGCTGGTGTAACGCTGCGAAAAGCATTCGTTATTCTGAGTCGCATATTTTCGGAAGAAGTTTGCGGTTTGACGTAAACCATATTTTTTATGTATCCCCACAAAAACAAATCTAATTTTGTTAAATCTGGTGATCTAGCGGGCCACCGTACAAGTCCATTCCGTCCTATCCATTTATTGGGAAATAATTCATTTAGATGATCTCTCACTTCTGTTGAATAGTGAGCAGGTGCACCATCATGTTGTAACAATATTCTATTGCGAAGGTCAAGAGGAATATCTTCTAACAAACCTGGTAAATCATTTCGTAATAAATTGAGATACATTGTTCCATTCATATGTCCCTTAAAAAAGTATGGACCAATTACATATTCTCCAATGATACCTCCCCAGACAATTATTGACCACCTATGTTGATAGTCTACCTGTCTCAATAAGTGGGGATTTTCTGTCGAATAATTATGGTAATTATGTCGATTCACAAATCCATTTTTATGGAATATCGATTCATCCGACCATAAAATGTTATTGAAAAAATATTCGTTTGGACGAATTTTTCCCATGGCTCAATTGCCAAATCTCACTCTTTTCTCAAAATCGGTATACAGTAGTTCTTGATGTAATTGAACGTGGTATGGATGAAAGCGATGTTTCTTCAAAACCCGTTGCACTAATATCTCACTTATATTCACTATTTCACCAATTTGTCGTTGACTCCTACTAGGATCTTCTTCAATAGCAAGAAGAACTTGCAATGCATTATCTTCATTAGTAGCTAGCTTGATGCGCTCATGTTAAGAATAATTGATACATCCAGTTTCAACAAATCGTGTCAAGACCTTTCGGAAAGATCTTTCATCTGGAAGCCTTCTATCTGGATACCGTTGAGAATAAATTCTACTTGCCAATAAACAATTCCTGCCTGATTCACCTAATATGAAAATCATATCACTTTTTGATAACAACATTCTGATGAAATTATATCGAAAGTTCAACTTCACGATTCACTAAAGATTTCAATATTCATTTGCAGCCAAATATTTTGTTCTGTCATTTGCCAGACTACTTGATTTCCAATAAATATTTTATTCGCTGAAGGTTGTTTCAGACCGAAAGAATATGGCACAAATTTCGAGATTATTGAAATTATTGTAACTATTCAAGAACGTACATTTTGTGGTGAAATTCACAACTTGTTTATCTAGCAACAGGTAATTTTAGGCATGGGACGATATTTTAAGGAAAGGGTTGGACAAAAACTATGCATCAAATGAAGAAATTGCACGGTGTTCAATTTAAAGAATAAATATGTTACAAACATAACATATATCTCGATCACAGCCGTCACATATGGATTTCACATTAAAAAAATCATTGATATTATGGCGATAAAATAGAGAGTTGTCATTTTTAGAAAAAAAAAATAAAAAAATTAAGAAAAACTGTAGGACACGCTATATATAATGTACAAAATTGAAACAAGATATCTTTTGTATATTCTTATTAGTCGTCAAATGGATTACGCTTTGAAAAAAGGTTTTCATCGAGTTTATGGCGTAGAAATAGGAAGAACGACCATTTTTCGAAAAACATGCTCATTTAAGAAAAAATATTGAACCTAGCCATAGGGAAAACTCAATGAAATTTGTAGAGGTTTCGTTGGCGCTTCTTATGGATCAATAATATACAGGGTGTTCCATTTAAAATGAGGAAGATTCTACAAATTTTTATTTAAAATATGTGGCAAGCGGTTTTTCATACCCTGTATATCAGAGGTCGATTTCAGATATATCGTTTGAGAGAGTTACCACAATAGAATATTTGACTGAAAACTAAAATTCAATTGGACTTGACACCACTTTATAATTTCAAATATTCTGAGTGACGAATGTTGGAGAGAAAAACCGGTCATGCTAGATATCTCGAAAACTGTCAATATTTCTGAAGTGGAGATATACATAAAGTGTCTTTTATTTTCTATGCAGAAATCGAAAAGGCGATGAAAAATATAGGTTGCTTTTTAAAAAAACACAGTTGGAATCCGCCCAGAAAAAATTGAGCACCCCGTGTGACCGCCAATATTTTTATTTTGTCGTTTTCGAGCAATGAGGTAATATTATAGAAATTAAGATTCCTATCTGTTTCCTAAATAGAGATATGGAACACCGCGCCATTGTTGCAGAACCCTGTATATATGATTGATGTGGAATTGGCCGCGATGGTAGTGCGCCCGACTCACGATCGGAAGACCGTGGGTTCGATTTCTGCCTCGACCAGATATTTTTTCGAAAGAATTTATCTGGTTGAAGCTGGGATGATTCTGCAACCGTGTTAGGAATCACACGTTAAAAGGTAACACCTCGTTAGTCCTTAGCTCGCACAAGTTTCTCAACTTCTGAGAGTTGTCGTTCGTATGGTGACGACAGCTGATTAACGGAAATACAGATTTTAAACAGACAAATTTTTAAACAGATATGTGATTTAATTTATTTTCTGATTGTATATCAATACTGTAATTTTTAGAGCTTGTCATAAAAAATATAACAGCCGAGAGAAATTATACAGTTGAAAGGAATGTAACGAGATGGAAAAGCTTAACAATTGGACCAACTTGTTATTCTGTTGGCTTGTTCGATACAGGATTGAATATTCTAATCACAGATTTGGATCGCAACCGAACTGGATTTGATATTGACGGTCCTGGAGAAATAGGTAAGAAATTGAAAGACCGTCCATTCAAATTATCTCTATTCGTAGTATTCTCACAATCAAAAATGAAAACTTGAAATGTGCCAAAAAAAGGGACATTTATCATCATTGGGTGGGTCTCTGATTCCACAACAAGTTTCATCTCCTGGGCGATTCTGGAAAATGAGACTTCAGCTATTGTGACGCTTTGATGGGGAAACAATTTCATTCTTCAAAATTCGAGTTCACATTTTGAGTTTGATGACAGGTTTTGACAATTATATACTTTTCAATAATATTTCAGATTTGAAAGATGAACCTTCTGATGTGATTATTTTCCAAAATCGGATCAACGGTCAGTCTGAAGCAGTTTTAGTTGTATCATTTGCTCAAAACTCGAATCTCTTATGGATCAGGTTAACACCCGATAAAATGGTGAGTAATTTCAGGATTATAAAGGAAGGAAGTTATCTTTCTGCTGCTCAAAACAAATTTTAATGAAACATTTTGAAAAAAAATTGTCTCTGTCTTCATTACTGGCTATTAGTACTCCTGTGATACATTGAACAACCTCGTTGAGAAAATCTCCCAATCTCTTGACAACAAGGAGATTGCGGTTGCTGTATTTCTTGATATTGAGGGAGCATTTGACAATGCACTACCTAAATCTATAGGATTGTTTCTGGCTAGAAAGGGTATAGAATCGACCATAACTGGCTGGATCTATGCCATGCTAGTAAACAGAACTGCAACTACGACTCTTCAAGGCGAGGCTATCAGGTTCAGGTCACCAGGGGCTGCCCTCAAGGTGGGGTACTATCTCTCCTTCTGTGGTCGCTCCTGGTGGATAGTCTGCTTGATGCCCTCGACAGAAGAAAAGTTTATCTGCAAGCTTATGCAGATGACTTTGTCATCCTGGCAAGGTCCACGTCGGGAAGGGTAGCTTGTCATATCCTCCAAAGCGCGTTGGACGTTGTTCACAGTTGGAGCCTGAGGGAGCAGATGTCTGTCAACCCCAGCAAAACTGTGTTAATCCCCTTCATTTCATTTGGAACGGAGGTGAAATATCTTGGCGTAGTCCTTGATAAAAGATTTACCTGGAACGCTCACTTAGAAAAAGTTTTACACAAAGCCAGACTGTCTCTATGAATATGTCGAAGGATTTGTGGTCAAACTTGGGGTTTAGGTCCCAAACAAATTCATTGGATTTATGTGATGATTGTGAGACCAATGATCACTTATGGTTCAATTGCTTGGTGGCCGAAAGCTTTACAGAAAACGGCCCAAGCGAAGCTCTCTGTCTTACAGAGACAGGCTTGTCTGGCTATCAGTGGTGCCATCAGTACATCGTCAGCGGCCATAGAGATCCTTCTAGACCTACGTCCTCTCCACATTTTTCTGGAAAGAGGGCTAGATGGATTGCATACATACTTGTGCACATTGCCAATTGCACAAATCAATTCAAGGCAGAGTGCAACAGACTGTTGGTTGACATTGGAAGTCACAGCATTCTGGAAATGACCTCTGACTTTATGCCTCCAACTGTCAACTACGAACTGCCTTATAAAGTACTATTCCCGAGTAGAGAGGACTGGATCCTTCGGGAGAAGGAAATATTAAGAGCAGATAGTTGTTGGTTCACAGATGGATCAAAAACACCTTCCGGTTCTGGTGCAGGTGTTTTCAGTCGCAGACCCAGGACAGAGTTATCTACCTCCCTAAGAACATATGCGACTGAATTTCAAGCGGAAATTTACGCTATTGAATTGTGTGCGAAGAGATTGGATAAATCCAACCTCACTCACAAGTAAATAAAAATATTCTCGGACAGTCAAGCGGCGTTGGAAGCTCTTGGCTCCCACCGAGCAACGTCTAAATTGGTAGAAAACTGCCAAAAAAAAATCTTCTCGATAGGAAGACTTAACAGATTGTCTCAGGTCTGGATTCCTGGCCATACTGGCCTGGAAGGCAATGAAGCTGCTGATTCTCTCATCGGACCAAAACCTGTCATTGGCATCGCTTTGGGCGATGGCAAGAAGAGTCATGGATTTCTGGCAGAATCTTCCAGGATTGGCTCACTCCAAGGCGTTTATTCACCCTTCGAAGATTGATTCCAAACAGTTGTTGGACTACAGCAGGGATGAACTACGTAACAGGCCTTCTTACGGGTCACTGTCATTTGAATCATCACATGCAGAGACTTGGACTGTCGGAAGACAGTGTGTGTCGCCTCTGACTGGAAAATGGTGAAACTGCACAGCATATACTTTGTGCCTGCCCCGCTGGGGACCGAATCAGGTTCTTTGGGTTCGGCAGATGAAGCTGGGTTTATTTGACCGAGTGTGAACAGGTGTGAGCCACAATAAACCCTTATGGGTTGCGACCCACTCACTTTAGACCTACCTACCTATTCCTATGATACAATGACAGTTTATGAATGTTTGGATTCATTCCGTGACATAAAGTTGTAATTTATGAATGAATTGTGTGTTTTTTCATAATGTTATCCAGATTGATACTGAAGAGCCTTAAGGCTAATGTCTTTCGGCGAAACATCGATATTTACCAGTTAGGAGAACAGTGTTCCATGTGAGTGAAATTTTTAACTTTCATTTAGTATATTGTGTAGGAATCCTGTGAATCATATCTGATTCGATTTGAACGAAAGTTGTGAATACAAACTGAGTAGGTGAAAGTTTTTTTTGTATAAATCAGTGTTCATATAAAAGTATTTCTTTCTAAAGAGCTTTTCTTTCCTGTAACTCAATATTTATATGAAAGTAGCTGTTTTAGGAAGCCTTTTTCTTTCAGTTTGTGTCTGAAAGTTACTTTTTTGCATGATCTACACATTCTTGTATGGAGTTACTTCTTTCGAAATTGATTGATTCCTTTCTTTCTTTGGAAGATTCCCACATTTTTTTTCCATCGAGATGGAGTAGTAGAAAGTCAACAACTTTCTTTCCCAAAACTTATTACTGCTAAAAATAAAACCCTTTCAATTTAGACAGCTTGTGAGTTTTTGTTCTGGATTGTTAACCGATCAAGATGAAAACCCACAAAAAACCTTCTTGAATATATGGATCATGAATGTGTTGTGTTGAGATAATTTTTTTCCTAAACCCTAAAATTCATTGGGAACAAAAATATCACATATACGACCACCATTTTTTTGTTCTCCTTCTTACTGATCAGTGTTGTTAAACATATTTTAACAGATCAAGATGAAAACCTATGAAAACCTTCTTGAATATACGGTGAATTTTACTAGTTCGGAATTGTCTGACATGACTCTAATATGATTTGAATTCTTGGAAAGACGTGATAAAGTTGAAATGGAAAGCTGAAAAATATCAATTATATTAAGCGATAAAACGTGAAACGAAATTACAATAAAATAAAAATAAGCAAAAATAAATTAATAATCGAACAATCAGAATAGAAATTGAAAAATTAAATTGAAGTCCGCATTGCCAAGCACAAAAGAAATACTCAGCGAGGAGGACCCAGCAAATCGGCAATAGCAGAACATGTTTGAATTCATCAACATCAAGTTGTCCCAAGCTGAGGTCATCCACGGGGTGGAACACTGGTTTGAGTGGAAGTTCAAGGAAGCTTCATACACGTTGTTCTTCCTATAATGCATATACGTTGTCCAACTAGCATAGAGATACGCAACAAATGGAAATCTGTAATCAAGTGGAAAAACGGTCAGTACGGTGCTAATGCCGACTGAACGCCTCCCCCCACCCCTTTTGACCTTGAGACGTCACACGACCTTGAATGACGTCACCTAACCTTGAACGTCGTACACGTAGTATGAGCTTGAATGCGGTGTTTGACCTTGAGTGTGGGGTTT